ACAGTAAAACGTCATATGGATTTCAATCAGATCTAGAATTGAAGGAACGCAAATGTACAACAGTAAAACGCCATATGGATTTCAATCAGATCTAGAATTGAAGGAACTACTACCATATGAGATATGAGAGGGTTGTACCTCTAAGTACATGCAAAGGGAACTCTTGTCTTGGAAAGTGGCTTAAAAGGTCTGCTTGATCAGGAGCTTGTCACACCAAGAATAGACATTGAGAGGATTCCTTTCTGTTTTACTACACTACATTACAACAGATATGATATGTATTAGACATGCTCAGCTTATGATATATACTTGGCATGGAACATTTGTTATATTTGTGCATGTACTTTGATGCAGTTAGCATATTGTACTTTTTGAGGCTTTGGCCTACATTCAATCTGTAACATTTATTGGAACAGATAAATAAAGTTTCTTTCAGAAATTTGTCTTTTTTTCAATTGCCTTTTTGTGCGATGGATAAAAGCCACGGACCATACGTTGGTTCGAAATTACAATGAACAAAGAACAAAACAACAAAAAATTTTAACGATAATAAAATTTAAATAAAAAGATAACAAATAAACAAGCAACAAAACAACTCTCTTTTGAAAATCAACCAACTACAATTAAATTTTGAAAACCTATTTCAAAAATCAAATGTGATAAAAATAATAAGAAAAGAAAATAAATTTGTTAAGTTGATTCCCTCGATTTTGAGGTCTCTTACTCTTTGCTCGCGCAACACGACCATCCTTGTCTACACTAAATCTCACAAAAAATTCACATATCTTCCTCAACAATGTCAACCTTTTCATACAACACCTATCTTTGGATTCAACACCACCAATTCTCATTTTTTAATCAATCCCTAACTTCTGATTCACTTCCTTTGAGGTCAGTCTTTAACTTCCGACTCCCTTTTGAGATTGATCATTAACTTTCAATCTCATTTTTGAATCAATCCTTAATTTCTGATTCCCTTCTTTTGAGGTCGGTCTTTAACTTCTAACTCTCTCTTGAGATTAATTCTTAACTTTTAATTATCATCTTGGAATCAGTCTCTAACTTCTGATTCACTCTTTTAAGGTTGGTCCTTAACTTTTGACTCTCTTTTGAGATTCATCATTAACTTTCAATTCTCATTTTTGAATCAGTCTTTAACTTCTGATTCCCTTCTTTCGAGGCCGGTCCTTAACTTTCGACTCTCTCTTGAAATTGATCCTTAACTTTCAATTCTCATTTTAGAATCAGTACATAACTTTTGATTCATTTCCTTTGAGGTCGGTCCTTAACTTCCGACTCTCTTTTGTGATTGATCCTTAACTTTCAATCCTTATCCTGGAATAAGTCCCTAACTTTTGATTCACTCTTTTGAGTTCGATCATTAACTTCCGACTCTCTCTTGAGATTGATGCTTAACTTTCAATTCTCATTTTAGAATCAGTTCTTAACTTCTGATTCACTTCCTTTGAGGTCGGTCCTTAACTTCCGACTCTTTTTTTGTGATTGATCATTAACTTTCAATTCTCATCTTGAAATCAGTCCCTAACTTCTGATTCACTCTTTTGAGGTCGGTCCTTAACTTCCAACTTTATTTTGAGATTAATCATTAACTTTCAACTCTTATTTTTGAATCAGTCTCTAACTTCTGATTCACTCTTTTAAGGTCGGTCCTTAACTTTCGACTCTCTTTTAAGGTTGATCATTAGATTGATCCTTAACCTTAACTTTCAATTCTCATTTTTGAAATCAATCATTAACTTCTGATTTCCTCCTTTCAAGATCGGTCCGTTACTTCCAACTCTCTTTTTTGTGATTGATCCCTAACTTCAATCCTTATTCTGAAATCAATCCTTAAATTCTGATTAAATTCTTTTTTGAACCAGTCCTTAAATTCTGACTTTCCTTCTGATTTCCTCGTATGTTTGGTGGTGTTGTGTCAACGAGCAATAATGCATTCACCCATATTAAGGCAATATTTGGTGACATCACTGAAAAACTTGAATGATGAATAAACAAGTGATTCCAATGAAGGCCCTAGCCCAAACCTCAGTGAAGTTGAATCCACCAGCTGATCAAAGTGTCATAGAATTGAGAAAAAGAAAGAAAAGAAGGTTTTACTTTCATTAGAAGCCATATTTCACAGTTGGTGGATTCATGTACCAATGCCCCTAGCACATCACAAAAAACATCAATTCAGTAAGTTATGTGAATTCTAGAGGCAACTCCAGAAATATATGAGGAAAAGTCATATTTGTGCCTCCAAAAATTTATAAGCACAAGTCATATTTGTTCTCTATGAAGTTGCTTGAAGACCCAACCCAAAAAGAGTTTTCATGACGATGAACCTTGACCTTAGGGTACATTATTTACATTATTTTCATACAAACAGTGACAATTGATGGACACTTGAATTTCATTTTATTTTAGTTGGACATTTTATATTTCCTTTCGATGGGCTACTTTTAATGCTTATTTGCATTTTTATTTTTTATTATTTTGTTTTGTATTTGCTTCTCCAATTTTATTTACATGTGGTGTTCATTTATATAAAGAGGGTATCTGAAGTCATTTCTGGATACAATATCACATTCCCGATTTTAAAAGATCCAACGATGTTGCTTGGAGTAGGAAAAAAATATTTAACAAGAGACACTCCTCTTTACACGGTGTAATTGAAAGAGCATTTGGAGTGTGGAAGAAAAAATGGGTCATACTACGTGATATATCGATGTATCCATTTTCGAAGCAAGTGCTGATTGTAGTGGCTATAATGGCTCTCCACAACTACATTTGATGACATCATTCTCAAACTGATGTTGACTTCATCATGGTTGACGATGATCATTTACACGTCTCGCCTTAAGCATTTGAATATCAGATAGAACAACTATATCACAACCAAAAGTAGAATCACAAGAAGGTTGCACCCAGGATGTCGAAGGTGCCTGAGAAATGATTAAATTGAGAGAGCAGATTATAGACGCCATTGTTGGATGTTGATTGGATGATTCTTGTTTATTTTGTACAGTTCATGTTTATTTTCTGTGACTTATGTATTTGATACTGTTGGTTAGATTTTTTTACATGGTTTGTAATATTTTTCTTTTTTCCTTTTCTTTTCTTTTTCATTTGGTGGGTTTGAGAGGTCCATGATGAGATATTGACCCTATGTGTTCTTCTGGATGACATGTTAGTTGTTGTTGGTTGGTGTCACATGTGAAATCCTAATGAAGACAACCAGTTTCTCTCTTCTTTTTAATGTTGCGGTTTTTGAGGTTCTGCTGGATGGTTTTTTTTTGTGATATGTATATGTGACACACACGAGCAGATTCGTTATGAGGTGTACTGAATTTTCTAAGACCTCATACCTACTTAAAAATGTAATTAATTACTTCTTTTATCAATTTCCGCTTGTTTATTTTATACAGTTTATATTTATTTTCATTTCCTATACATTTGATTATGATTGTTCGGGTTTTTTTACGATGTTTTAAAGTGTTTTCTTTCTTTTGTAATTTCTTTTGTTTTTTTTGGTGGGTTTGAGGGGTCCATGATGAGACGTTAAATCTTATGGGTTCTTCTGGATGACCTGATTGTTGGTATTGTTTGATGTCACATGTGAAATCCTATTGAAGTCAATCAAGTTCCTCACTTTTTTTTTCGACGATACGACTTTTGAGGTTATACTGGATATCCTTACACAGTGATATGCATATGTGACACACATGAGCTTGGTATTACCTGGGTTAAAGACAATCACGAACCCTTATTTTATAAAATATGTTGTCTTCTTGTAGTGAAAAATTCTTTGGTTGGTATACCAAGTCCCCCGAGACCTCATGCCTGCACAAAACTGTAATTAATTACTTATTTTATCGCTTTATACTTGTGTTATGGCTAATAGATTATCTTTTGAAGCATTTACGAAAGATATGTTAAAGGATTTTAGGGACCTCCCGAGGAGCATATGCCACTGCGAACTACAGAGTTTCGTGCTCACGTCACGTCAGTCACATCACTATGAGAGACAATTCTACAAGTGCCCGTGAAAAATCACCGACAAATGTGACTTCTTCTGGTGGACAGATAAGCTGACATATTTCACCACCGAGAGTGATCTGGAATGAATAGTATCCTTGGAGGATGGTCTGGCTTGTGAGTCGTGACATACGCCGTCTTTATTTTAAAAATAATATTATTATATTATTAAAATTATTTTAATTATTTTTTCCTTATTTTAGTAACAATGATACTCACTGTTAAGTGAGGTGTATATCTTATTCTTATTTTAGTAACAATGATACTCACTGTTAAGTGGGGTGTATATCTTATTATTACTCTGTTCTAAAGTATTTTTTTGTTTCTCAAGTAATTTTAATCAAATATTTTGCTATAATAATTGAGTTGCAAACAAACATTATTACAAATGAACAAAATGATCATTTATCCAGAAATAACTGTGCTGCAACTGTTTCTAAACATCAATAAACAAATAACGAGCCAATTTATCTGAAATAGGGCTGTCAAAAAGGCTCGCAGTTCACGAACAGCTCGTGTTCGACTCGTTCGCTAAGTTAACTCAGCTCAAAAATTTATGCACGAACGAACAAACGTATTGACTCGATATATATATATATATATATATAATTAATGAGTAGTAAAAAATAGCACTAAATATGGCCACAATGATTAACCTATATTATAATAAAGGAATAAAAAATAGTTACCAAATATTCCAATGTCTTGGGAATGAATTATTAAATTAGATTCAAATTATGTGTTATTATAAACAATAATTTTTAGATTTTATCCCATCCCTTAATATCTTATGATTATGAGATTAGTGTTGTTAAAATGACTTTTTATTTAGCTTGCTAAACAAATAAGTGGAAAAAAAAAAAAAAAAAAATAAAAAAAAATTAAATATATATATAGATATATATATATTTATTTATTTATATATATCTCGAAATATAAACCCCTAATCGGTAATAGCTTTTTTGGGACCGCGCAGCCAAACATACACTCCGCTTTGTTTGGTCGAAGCTTCGTCTTTACTTTCTGAGACTGCGACTAGGATGAGCTCGGCAGCGCTGGGATCGGTTTTCCGAGATGTTGGATTTCTTCCCAAGGTTAATACAAGGTGTCTCTTCTTCAATTGTATCGAATTTGGTGGGGTTTTTTGTTTTTACTGAAAGCATTGTTATTTTGATGGAAGAATGCTTCGAGAAATTCAGAAGGAAGGAGATTTTGGATCAGAGGATCTGTGGTTTCTTCGCCGCAAAGTCTGCAGGCCGCAAACATGAGACCGAAATGCTCAACAAAAGCTGTTCGTGTTGGGGTATTAGGGGCCAGTGGTTATACTGGAGCTGAGGTACATTCCTTTTTCATTTCTTTTCTTGCACAAGGAAGTCTTCTATTATCGGGGATTTGTTTTAACCTCGTTAAACTTGTGTTTGCCACATGATGCTTACTAATCTCAATGTGGTAAAGTATAATTGTTGGTTGCAATGCATCGTCAATTCAGCGAGAATGTAGCTTTTGAAGACAAATTAAATGAATAATTTCAATGTGTTTTGCATGAAAGGCAGGTTTGTCGTGTAATCTGGACGTTATTTTGTTGATATTAATATCATCAGCTTTGCATTATGGTCAAAATTTATAGCTCATGGGAAAAACAACTTTTTTCTTTGCTTTCGAGGCAGAGTCATCAACAATATACATTTTAATATTTTCTTAAAGGCATAATAATCAGTGATTGAATTGTACAGAATTTTAAGAACTTACTGAACTTGTAATTAAACTATGACAACTTTTTTTGGCAGTTACGGTGATGATATTTATTTGATAAAAAAGATTTGTTTTTGTGATGTGGGCAATATAAAGGATAAATGTCAAATGATTGAAATGATTGTTATGCTGAGACCATAGCATGGAATTGTGAAAAATATGTGAAGACTCATGGTCAAAATGTGGGTTAGGTGGAAATTCTACTATCTATTTTGATCAAGAAAATGAACCAAATGATAATTTATTTCAATAATATTACTGAACTTCTTATGCAGAACGAATGTTCACAATGCCATAAATTGAAGAAGAGGATATAATCATGTTTATTGTACTTTTTTCTTGTGTTTTTTTATTTGATTTTGATATAATATTTTCCATTTTTGTATAATATATTAGAAGCACAGGATTCAAGAGCGAATTGCACAAGCCTTCGTCCTGTACCCATGGCCCAAATGCAGAAGACAATTTTAATTATCATATTCATTTGTCATATGTAATCACTTTGAACGACTGACAGAGAAATTTGCACAAAAATAAAAGAAGTTTTCCATATTATGTATCATAGCTTAGGCAAGTTCTGAAATGTTTCAATAATAATTCAATCTGAAAGTCATTATGGATTTGAAATGAGACATTTGTAGAACATGAGAGGATTTGTAAGGTTTAGAGGTTAAATGGTTGCTTTAACTTTAAAAATGTTTTGTATATTATTGTTATTGGTTAATGTAGCAGGATGTTATAATTCCAAATTGGTGTAGAAGGATGCTTTGTATTGAATTGGCATAGAGGATTTGGAGTAGAAATAGTTGTGAAATGTTGAAAGGAAGAAGAATGAAATTTCATGTACACAAGTTTGATAGAGGACAGAGAACTCTATATACATGTAGTGAACCGGGCACACAACTTAGATCAATGCTAAGGAAACCATCAAATTTCATTCATAGTTATAGTTTTCTTATGCTTGAAAGTTTGGACCTCTATTTATAAATGAATATCCCCTAAGATATGTTCAGAAATCAAACTTATTGTAAGAACTGGAATATAATCATTTTTGGGTTGAAATTTATACCAAGAATTATGGATACACAAAAAACAAAATACAATGACGATTCTAATGGAATACTAAGATATGAAACATGGTTCATATTTTTCCTTGCACCACTAATTGAATAGGGAAGTAGTATGGAAAACAATACTTGAGGGATGATCTAATTTATGCAAAAACTACTATGAACTACCATGTTTAGGGGCTCTGGGATGTAAATTTGATTATTATATTTATAATCTATAATTGGTGATTTATAGACTTTTCTTTTGAAATTGGTTACTAGGTAAAGTTCTGAAGTTTATTAGAAAAATTACACAAGTTTAGAGTCTTAAGCCCTAGAACTACATAGAAGTTCAGGCCGCCTAGTCGACCCATCTTGAACAAAGTAGTTATTTATTCATCAATACAAAAATATTCTCATTAATATGTTTATATTTTGTATTATGAGTTTAGTTTGTCAATCGGCTCGTTCTGAGAGAGAATCTTGATTGTTGGATAGGTCGAGTTAGATTAGTGCCTACGATAGTAGAAGTCTGGCCTATGCTTGGTTGTCTCATGCATCGATCTTTTTTTTGCTTCCATGTTATGATTATAGCAAAGAGTATAAGAACCTATGTTTGTGATTTTATATAGTAAGAATGCTTCTTTGTGATTCTGTCCTTCGTAGTAAATTTCAGTTTTTTTATGGTATTTTAAAGATGCTTGGATATCCAGTTTGTATTGTATTTTGGGGAAATTACATACTTAGCAAACAATTCTTAGGTATTTACATATCTCACACCAACACTTTCATATTTACATACATATCACTTCGATGCTTTAAACCTATGCATGAATATATGTATTTCACTTTTAACAAGTGATATTAGTGCTATTTTGATGTTATATTAAAGATTTGAGTGCAATCTGTGTAAATATGAAAGTTAAGGTGTGAGATATGTGAATACATAAGAATTATGTACTATCTATGAAAATGCCCCTTGCATTTTTCATTGAAGTTGAACTGCTTCATATTATATTGTTTTGAATTGCATTTATTTCCTGTTATTGCTCGAATATATGTTTTAAGTTTTTTTTTTCTTGCTGCTGATCTAGTTCTATTGAACAGATTGTCCGCCTCTTAGCAAATCATCCTCAATTTTGTATTACCCTAATGACTGCTGATAGAAAAGCTGGCCAGTCATTTGGATCAGTATTTCCTCACTTGATCACTCAAGTAAAGTTCCTCATTCCTTTTTTGATATTCTATGCCTTAGTATGCTGGTGTACTATTTTAGTTTGACGAAGCTTTAGTTTGATGCAAGACATCTTACAAATTACCTTTTGAAATAGTATTTACATGCTTACCCTCAATATACCTTCTAGTACTATTCTTTGGGGCATTTGAACATTGAGTATTAAAGGCTAATTTTGGCTTGCTTTTATATTTCCATTATGTTATGCTGGCATTTGTTACTATTGCCATGCATGCAACATTATAAAAGGACAGATAATGTTTAGTAAAAGCCAGAGTTTCCAACACAAAGCTATGGGCACCTAGGTAAATCTTTTACCAAGAAAACCATTGATATAGTTATTATGATTTAGCAATTAGCATTAGTTCCTAGCAATTATCTTAAAAGTAACGCTTTATTAGAATTGATCTGCTCATTAAGAAACTAACTAAGCTCTTTAATATAGTCTATATTATTTTCAAAAGTTAGGTTCTAATTTATCATCAAAACATTGATAATGTAATAAGAAATTTCCTCATTTAATGTTCGCTTTTAGGTGGATATTATTGTCACATATGATGTAACTACATGGTAAGTTATGTTTCTCTATCTAAGATAATACTAAACAAGATGTCAAATTTTTTTCTTCCTTCTCGAAGAATGTTTTTTAGAGGGTGTTTAGTAGCGTTTATTAACATGATTTATTGTTGGATTTACAAAATCCAGCCAAACATAAAAATGCACGAGTTCCACGGATTTATAAATTTTTTCAGATTTAAGACCTGAATTTTGCTTTCAATTTAACTTAAATCCGTATTTAATAAATCCTGCGGGGGTTGGATTTAACTGATTTACGATGTACAGATTTACTAATTCCTACTAACACTAAATCCTGCTTGCAGCCAAACACCACTTAGTGTATTTTATTGGCTTGTCCTTAAGGTATGGCACTTGTGAGAATATTTTTATGAAAGTTTGTAGTTGGATGAGAAAATAAAGGATATTAGAGAATGTTCTGCTAGTCTTTTGCAATTTTTTATCCTTCTCATTTTATTTAGCTTCTTATAGGTTTCTAATTGCCAGAAAGGAATTGGACTCCTTTACATTGGTGAAAGGGCAATATGTCTAAAGAGTATAAGTATGCTTTTTGGTTAGTCAAATATTTAATTAAAAAAAAATTAAAACTTTACTTTAATGTCCGACTAACTAAGAATATTTAGTAGCCTCTTTAATTTTAGGCTTGGCTACCTTATCATCATGAAGGTAGCTTGTAGCCTTTAGTTTCTTCAATGTGATCGATGAGAATCATGTAGTAAGGAGATAGAGAGTATTTAGGGTGTGTGGAGTTGTCAAGTTAAGATAGTTCTTATTAAAAAGAGGAAGATGAAATAGGAGATTTATAGAGATGTTTCTATCAATGTAGAAAACCAAACATTTTCTAAGTGGTTGGCATTGTAGCTTATTATAAAAATTTCAGATTAATTTTAGGTGAGTAAATTTATTAGGATTTATTATATTTATATAATAATTTAATTATTTATTTTTTTTTAAAATGATTTAAAGCTATTTTTAATATTTGTTTTTGTTATGAGGGTCCTTTGGTAAGTTATGGGGATTTTTTGGAATTTGTTGAATTTGTTTGAGATTTTTAAACTTGGGAGGATTATTTGAATTATTTAACTAAGATTATTATTTTATTTATTAAATTGACGGAAATTAATTCAAATTACTCCAAACTTGATTACTCACCATTTTCAATGGGTTACGGCTTCATTAAGAATGATTTACCATGTTTTATCCTTTCTTATTAAGAATTATTAAATATTGGTTTTCATTATTAGCATTTTTATTGATATACTTAAGAAATTACAAATGTGCCAAGTTAGTACATAATATCCCTCGAGAAAAATTAGTGTTGGTTTATATTCATTGCATTTTAAATTTGACTACAATTTATATTTATAATTATTTATTTTCATTTTTTATGTTTATTTCACTATGATTATTATATTTATAATTTTATTTTATTTTTATTATTTTCTACTCTAAATTATGATAACATTTTTTTTATATTATTTTAGATTTTTTTTTAGTTATGAATTTTTAAAGCTATTAGCATTTTCTGGATTTATTAAAATAGGACAAATGATTTATACAATACAACAAACTATATATACCTTTACACGCGACATTTTTATAACTAGGGTTTCAATCGCAGGTTGGCTTTGTTGCTCCACGACATAGTCTCATTGGCTAATGCTTAAACCCACAGACTTCATTTTTCCTCGCAGTAGGAAAGATGACGAGTTGCTTGAATGGATCACTACCATTCTTTCCAAATTTGTGGGAGCGAATAACATTCGTTCATCATACCCAGTTTTATAAGGAATCGGAAATGTAGATCAAACAAATCTTGATACAACGTAGTCGAACGTCCAAACATGAATCAAATTCAACCGAAAGGATCTAAATTCTATTGCTAAGTTATCCGATGACTAGATTGACCTAGCCCTCTTTACAATGACCAAACGTTGAGTGTTCTATACTAAGTTTTAGGAATATCGTATAGTGTAGAGGCATTCCAAGCAATTGAGTGGCTCTAGACGATCATTTAGCTGCTATGAACAATCCTGAATCTCCGATTGCAGCTAACAAGAGTTGGGAGGGAACGCTCGATCAAGTCCGAACAGGTCTAGAAGCTATGTAGAGAGCTCCATTGAGTGTGGGGAATTTAGGGAAAACCGTAGGGATGTTCCTTGATGGATTTTGAATCCTCAGAATAAAGGATCGTAGACTGAGTGTGTGGAATCAACGACGTCCTGTACCGACGAGGTTCATTGATTAGGCAGTAATGGGGGAGAAATTGGGAGCTCGAGAACTCTCTAGGAAGCTATGGGAGCTCTCCTAGGGTTTTTAGGATCTTTCAATTGATCAGGGGAGTGAATTCAAGTGCTTGGGGTTGGCTTGGCTAGAATGATTGTGTGTTTTGTTTTCTTTTTTATTTGGTTAGGATATCGTAGGGTGAGTGGTCGGATTGTCTCAAGTAGTTAGGGAGAGCTCCAATGGGAGTAGTATAAGTTTCCATTTAGTTATGGGAGGAGTGGAAGTTGCCCATGGGTAATTGAGTGGGCTTGAGTCTCGAATTGGTTGAGTTTAGGGTAGGCAGCGGCTAGGTTTTGGATTGGCTTTAGGATTGAGTTCATTTAGGATTTATTTGATTAAATAAATTTGTTTGAGTGACTTTTGGTTTAAGTTCAACTTATTTTTAGATTACATTTAGATTAGGTTGTGTTTTATGTTTAGGTTTAAGTTTAGTTATGTAGTTGGTTTAAGATTGGGTTTAATTTATGCTTAGGTTTAGATTGATGTGGATTTTTTTTTTTAAATTTTACGGTGTGTTCAGGTTTCATTTATGTTATGTTAGATTATGAATTAGGTTTAGGTTTAGTTTGTTTTAGATTTGGATTGATTTTTTTGTTTAAAGTTAGTTTAATTATGCGGTTGGTTTAAGTTTATAATTCGGGTTGGTCTATAAGTAGTTTTTAGATTTATGTTATTTTAGCTTTGGTTTATTTATTAGTTTTAGTCTACTTCTTAGTGTATTTAAACGTGTTTTAGTCTTAGGTTTAGTTTTTTTAGCTTTTGTTTGTTTTAAATATTCATTGATTTTTTATTTGGTAATTTTATATTTAGGTTTGTTTAGAATTTTTTAATGCTTTTTGTTTCTTTTAATTTAAATTTTTTTTTGACTTTAAGTTTTTTATGTTTTAATTTGATGAAAATTTATTTTAGTTTGATAAATTTGAGTTCAACTTTGATTAAAATTTGGTTTTAATTGGTTAATTTGAATTTGAATTTGGCTCAATCGTAATTTAAGTTGAACTCAAACCAAAGCGTATGATAAGTTTCCAAGTCCGTTGGAGAGTTCTAGAGAAGAAAGGTGCTGATATAACTTTTATTCAAGTCATTAAAGATATGTATACTAGAGCTATTACTTGTGTTCAAACATAAGGAGGATTGACTAAGTATTTTCCCATTCCAACAAGATTACATCAGAGATCGGCTTTAAGCCCATATCTTTTTTGCTTTAGTTATGGATTTTCTTACTGGACATTTATAGGAGGATTTATGTGGATAATACTAAGAAATAGTTTAGGAAAATTTTGAATTATGGAGGTCTAAACTAGAGTCTAAAGTCTTTCGTTTGAGTAAATCTCAAACTGAATACGTGGAGTATAATTTTAGTAGTAGCCTTTGTGTCAAATTTCTAACTATGGGTGTTCAAATCATTAAAAGATGTGAACTTTTTAGATATCTCGGGTCTATTGTTCAAAGTGATGGTGATATAGATAGGGTTGTTATTTTGTTATTAGTAGATTTAAAGTTATTAGTAGATTTAAAGTTGGTTGGTTGAAGTGGAGGAATGCATTGGTCCTATTGTGTGATGGAAAAATATCATTTTGACCTAAAGGAAAATTTTATAAAATGGTTGTGAGACTAGCAATGCTCTATGACACAGAATGTTGGTTTTAAAAAGAGAAGCATAAAATAAAGTTATAGTGTTGCTGAGATGAGAATGCTTAGGTGGATGAGTGACTTGTCACATAGAGACAAAATGCGAAATGAATATATTCGTGATAGGGTTGGTGTAGATCCAGTGGCGGTCAAGATTGGAGAGAATCGTCTTAGATGGTTTGGTCACATTAAATGTTGACAATCAGATGATCCAGTTAGGAGTGTAGATGATTTAGATTTGACTTATGTTAATAAAAGCATAGGTAAACTTAAAAAGATGTGGACATATTGTATAAGAAATGATTTTAATCTATTAGAATTGAATGAAAATATGACACTCAATAGGACGCAATGGAGAAAAAAGATTCATGTAGCCGATCTCACTTAGTGGGACAAAGACTTCTTGTTGTTATGGTTTAAGTTGAACTATAAACCAATTGAATTTATCTTGAACCAAAAAAGTGTGCTAAAAGGAATGCCAAGCCAG